CGGTACCGGACGGTACCGGACGGTACGTACGTACGTAGTAGTAACGTAACGGTACGGTACGACGTACGTACGAGTACGACGTACTACGTACGTACTACACACAAACTTGGTTTTTAAAAAGTGATAGAGTGTGAGATCTACTAAAAAATGAGTAGATCTGCTCTCAGATCAGTGGCAAAGCCCACTTTGATCACAAGCACGAAATATTGAAGTAAAATCGATGAAATACACCTAAATCTAATAAAAAATAAAATAAAAAACTAGGAAGGATAGAAAAAGACCTGGCCGAGCCAACGACCTGATGAACCCGAGGCTTCGCTCGTATCAAGACCACGGTTGTAATTTCCGTCGTGGATTATCCGTGTCTCTCTTCAATGTTGATCAAGCCTTTGCTTGGTTGAATGGTTATCTTAGATCTAAAGTTTGAAGTTTGAAGGTTGCAAGCTACGGTTTAATGGACTAAGATTTTCTCTTTGGGCTCTCTTTATCTCTCAAATTTCCCTGGCATACACGTCTAAACCTAACTCTCAGATTTCCCTGACATACACATCTAACCCTCTCTCTGGGCTCTCTCTATCTCTCAAATTTTCTCTAACATACACGTCCAACCCTAAAAGAGGCACATAAATGTTTTTTTATAGACTGAAAAAGGTGTAGAATGGATAATTACCGAAAACCACCAGATTTGCCAGGATACTGAATCACAGAATGGGGATCATGGATTAGAGTGTTATATGGTTCTGGGATCTTATAGAATAGTATGGTCCTAAGGGTTGTCGAAGGTAGGAAAATCATGAAATTTACCATTTTTAAAATGGCGCGTCTACAAATGAAATTTGTTTACTTGTTAATATCATATTATGTTATGGTATCTGGTTTACTATGTTACATTACAATAAGGCATTTGTTTATCAATTGTCTCATCTTGTTATATTACATTAAGGCATTTCTTTATCAATTGTTTCGTCTTATTGCTCATGTCATATTGTAGTATATTAATCAAGTTACTGCAATGCTTGTTTTTTGGCTTGTACGAACTTTCCTCTTTGTATGGGGTTCATATTGTAGTTCAATCATCAATTGATTTAAATTTAATTTTTACAATATTTGTTTTACTATAAAATAGAATTTCTTAAAACAATAAAATGTATAGTTCAATGTAAAACTTGTTGTATCATAAATTATTACTGTATGAAGTTATTAATTTATCTATTCTTTCTATGGGATTGTTGTGAAATTGTGCGTAAAATTATACCAGATATTTTTATTTTTACATATATAAGGTAAATACAATTACAACTTATAAATATATTGAATTGATTTCTAAGCTATAAATTGTAACTTATGAATATATAAGTTACAAATATATATTTCTAACCTATAAACATTTAATTGTTCTTCTATAAGTTATAAATTATAACTTATAATTAAAACAAACTCTTAAAAACTCGATTAATAAATCTGACTAACTTAAAAAATACAACATTAATTAAAGACAAACCTACAATATAGCCTAGCAAGACTATTATAAAAAAGCTTCCATTTTTCAACTTCTATACAACAAAGCCTAAAACCCCACGTCAATGCATAAGGCACATGCCCCTTTAATCTATAATGAAATAATATATCCAGTTCAAATAAATTCTACATTCATGTTAACTTCTTTAAAATAAATTTGATACAAGTTGAGCGAGTAGCACAACATATCGCCGACACAAAAATAACACATTGCACTGATCTAAGATTAATTAAAGACAAACCTACAATATTAGTCTAGCAAGACCACGTTAAAGAACTTCAATTTTTCAACTTCTAAGCAATCCAATTCACATACCCCTTTAAACTCCATATGAAATAATATGTCTAGTTCATATAAATTTTACATTCATGTTAACTTCTTTAAATTACATTTCAAACAATAGTGGGTAGCACAATATAATGCCACCACAAAAGTGACGTATTGCACTGCTCTAAGCAGCAATTTATTTAAAATTAACACTTCTCAAAAATAAATTTGACACAAGTTGAGTGGGTAGCACAACATAGTTCCACCACAAAACTGACATATTGCACTATTATAAGCAGTAGTTTGCTTAAGATTAATATAAAACCCACATTTTAATTAAAAACGTAGCACGTAGATTAGGTATACACTATTAGGTGACCACTTCATGGATTTAAGATGGTCACAAATTACATTAAAGCATCTGGGATGGATCTGGGCCTACCTCTGCGCATAGAAATGGATTTTTAACAACATGTCCCGTCCACAAAATTCTCTTAATTTATTCTGAGTTTTGTCCAATGTTCAGAATTGTTCCCGCAAACAAATCAAAGCTAAAGGGTAGCCTACAAAATCAAGTATGCAACATCAGGCCCATCTACATAATTATGCTTGTAGGATACGCTTTGCATGGAAAACAACAAAAAAAAGGCAAAACAAGACAAAAGCAAGTCAACCTGAGGCGCACACAAGTTTTGTGTATGTAACCTGGGAGATCCACAAAGAGTTATACTACGAAACCACCACCAATATGAGATGCACCTTCATCAAATAGGGATTCACCTCTTTATGAATGGACAAGCCTCACGAAACTTGCAAGAACCAGTAGTGGAAACATACAAGAGGTTACTTGCTCCTTGGAAAAGACGTGTTTCTCCTCCACTCGTAGGGTAACACTTATAGAAGAGGCTACATGTAACTTTCAAGTCTACCTTGATGTCTATGTTCAAATCCTAGCTAGGGTTCAAAGAAACTTCCATTCATTCAGGTGTCACGCGAATAAATTGCATCTAGTTGAATGGCACATTTCTTTTATGAAAGATATCTAAATTTAAGAATGAGAATTAAACCATTTAACATACAAAGAGCATGCAATGCAAATAAGGCTCTTTGAAGAAGTGCATCGATGTATGAGAAGGATTACAGATCCAAATTAGGCTTCTCTTCTCTTTTTTTCTTCTGGGAGTCAAGAATATCTCTAAGCTAAGTTTGGTGTGTGATAAGTCACCGAGACACCATTTCCTAGGTTTGGATTGACAAAGTCTGCACCAGAACTAGAGGTTGGAGTCCACAAGATTGGGACATAGGGTAAAATGGTGCCCAATTACTTTACGGATCTTAGAAAAGATAGGCCAATAAGGATGAAAAGCATGTGGGCATCCACAATCAGAGAGAAGGAAGTGGGATAACAGAAGGATGCATTCAGTCCAATCTTTCTTGCACATTTTGACTTAAGGAGCTACACAAAGGATCGAGTTCCTGGATCACCACTAGGGCACCTTGTTCTAGTATGAGAGTCTCACATTCTCAAATTCTCTGTAGCCAGGGAACTGTAAATCATTTCATGTGATCTTGGTAGCTCATGAGGAGGACACCAATTTACTTCTTAAACTGCTCCAGACAAATCAGACATTTGCCAGGTAGTTGCTCATGTTTTAGGAAATCACCTATTCATGACAGACGTTGCCGGACTGAATGGTATTATAAGCAACAAAAAAAGAGATCAAATTTTAAGGGCCACCAGCCACCTGGCAATTCTTACCATCAAGGCATCCCGACTATCATAGCAATTCTCAATGAATTTGAGAGGGGAAGGCATGAAAGGGGAAGGCATGAATGCAATCAAATAGGCGTGTCAAAAATCTTGCACGCAAAGGAGAATCTAAAAGAAAAGATCTGAAATATGTAACACATTAGTCATTTCCATCGCAAATACTGCAGGGACAACACTCAGAGAGTTAAGTAGTTGCTGGACTGGATAGTATCATAAGCAACAAAAAATAGATCAAATTTAAAGGGCCACCAGCCACCTGGCAATTCTTACCATCAAGGCATTCTGACTATCATAGCAATTCTCAATGAATTTGAGAGGGGAAGGCATAAACGCGATCAAATAGGTGTCAAAAATCAAGCGTGCAATGGAGAATCTAAAAAAACATACCTGAAATATATAACACATTGGTCATTTCCATCAAAAATATTGTAGGGACAACACTGAGATAGTTAAGTAGTTACTCCTTCCAACAATAGCGACTCCAAAACGGAGTATTCTATTGAAAACTACCGGCATCCCCTTGGCAGCATCCCATATCCTCGTGATGGGCCGATCCTTATTTTGTAATATAGGAGACTCTTGCATAACAACCAACATTATTATTATATATTGATAACCAACAGAACTCATTCACCAAATGAAAGATAGAGTTTCTCCACCCCACAGAAAACAAAAGAAAAACACTCACACATCCAATGAGCAACCCGCCAACTTCCTGTTTCTACCCGTTACCCTATGCATAAGTCTGTGTAGATCTTCACACAGCACAACTTCACGTACAACTTGTTTTCTAAGAAATGATTAACTGCAAATTTATCAGAGGTGGTAAAGAGAAAGAGGGCAGGAAGTGCGTATTTCGTTAACATGACTGCTTTGGAAACAATCAAGTCTCCCAACAAGTCAACTGCCCACAATATTATGCCATTCCAGACCCATGAAAGTAAACAGCAAAAAAAAGAAAAAGAAAGCCATTCATAACATTCACCAATCAAACTCACTTTATGCCATCCAAGGAATCTATAAGATAGCCTTGGCCAACAACAATGCAACATTAACACAAAGGAGTATGCACTTCAAAAGACCAAAAAATTTCACAATGAAGAATTACCGAGAAACATGGGCTGCAATATTAGATCAGGCATATCAAATAATTGGATAAAAAACTACTACTTAATAACTGAACATGAAAAACCATTAACATCAAATTATATATTGCATGAAAATTTTAAAAGAAAAATGATGAACATACTCCAGTAAAATATAATCATACCTTATTTCCAAGCAAAGAACAGCAACTTCAGATATAAATACAAAGAAATGGAAAAGTACAACAAAAGATGCTAGAAGAAAGTAAGTGAAGGGCATTCAATTACTACCCCCTGGGCTGAGGAAACTTGAACTTTTGATGAGAACTGTGAGCCAAGCTGCTCTGGCCGGTTGAACTGTGGTGCATTAGCTTCATGTTGCCTTGAATTTGACCCATAAGATTCTGATTCAGATCTTCTACTCTGGAAGTCTTTGTTATCTCGAACTGTTTCCCGAGACCTTTCCTCTCCAGTTGTAGGCACTTGTGCTGCCCGACCACGCCAGTCCCGATTGTCTGCTTCAGCATAACGACTTTGCAATTGATTTTGCTGCAACAGAAAATTGTAAGAATTTTTCCTCCTTTTTAGATCGGTATCCGAGTAGTCATTTTAGAGTAAAGGCATGGACCACAAACTTGGAAGAGAATTATCAATATGTGAATGCACAAATAATTTCTAGTGATAACTTGAATACCCAGTCATTTCAGAAAGTCAGATGCCAAACAAAACAAAAACCAACTGAATCTCTTACTCGGGTGTTTTAAAACTGTGGATTGACTCAGGACACACCTCAAAACCCTGGACAGTGTTGAAAAGCATGGACTTTGAGCATGGAATCGCCAGAGTACAGATCAGCGATATTTTTAACACTACCTCGATGAGTCTCATGTAAATTCCATGGACTCACCCCAGTCTGACACTATTGGGCCTTTATAATGTGCTTCTGCCATAGACTCAGCTGAGTACAATGAGACTAGGCCAAGTCGAACAGCCTGACTCCTACCCCGGACGCTAACGTGTCCCCACCTGACACTGCTCTTACTTGTATTTTATAAAGACCACCAATCAAGATTTACCATACGGCTGAGATAAAACAAGGAACGAATATAAAGAATAGTCTTTTGATGCTTTTTTTTACACACTTATAAAAGAGAATATTCTTTTGATGCTTTTTTTTATGCACTTATAAGAGAGAGTATCAAGAGCTCCATAAGAAAATTGGAGCATTTATGAATTTAGGTACTTAAAAGAGTCTCACTCACATTGGTATCTGCACGTCCCCAAGTTGGCTCTTCTCCTGATATTTCAGACTCAATTTCTTGTTTAATCCTTATAATATCTTCTGGGGGCACCACAGACTGTAAAAATCACATAAAAGTAAGCGAATGAAATGAATGGAATTACCAACAATTAGATGCATAAATCTAATGGTGTTAATATGATACTAAAACAACATCAGATAAGCAGACCACGAGGACTAATAATACCAAATGGCTGTACAGCAAAGAAATAACAAAAATGTTCAAAAAAGAGCAAAAATAGTTGCATGAGCAACCCAAGAAATACAAAAGAAAAAAAAAGATATGGAAATCATAAATACAATGACTTCCAAAAGGGTTGAAACCATCTCTATGCAACACAAAATATGCAACACAAAACACAAGACACTCAACGAAACTCGATGAATAGACCAAATTGAAATGTTAGCACACAAAATAACAGAATACCGAGAGAGAAAAGTAACTTCCCAAACACAGCATCTTTAATAAAAGAATCATTTCACATGGCTAACTGGTGTGAAGGAATAAGATAGTGCACGTGAAAAAAGAAGAAGCGGATAAGACATAGGAAATAACAATAAAATCGAAATGTGTTAATGAATACTAAAGGAAAGAAGAATCTTGAGAACTGAGAGCCATAAAACTCTGCAGGCTGTAAAATCCAAATGAATTACCCAAGATGTAAAAAGGAATTACCCAAGATGAATCCGAATGAATTACCCAAGATGTAAAAAGGAAAGAACAGCAAAAACTACAGAAATCACAGCATGAGAAGCCATCAACCGGTCAAAAAGTTTTCTTCATATACCATTTATTTTTTACTTGGATCAATGAACTCACAAAAAAGGACCAAGTACAAGCTACACAATATCAAGGAAACACAATTCACTTGCTTAACAAACAGAATATCAAACCAAAAATGAGCAGGTCAATACATCTTAATACAGGGGCTTCCTTAAGAGAAAAGTGTACCTCCCTAAGTTGTAATAGCTGGTCACGTGAATATCGAATGCGTTCATGAACTTCAAAACGCGAGTCTCCAGTCTACAACATAATGGGATATCATTAGAACTCCAAAATCAACAAATACATTCATTGTTCAATTAGCATAATGGACTTTATCTTAGAAAAAATAAGGAGCTCACTTAGTGACAATACCAACAATCTACCATTCAAATAACTAGAGAAAAGCCATCAATTGTATCCCTGCTATCTTAATTATTGAAAAGAGCACGCCATCATTCTAAAAAGCACCAGTTTTATCAGTACTATCCCTCTAATCAATTAACATGCCTAAGCAAAAGGGTAAATTGGAATTCATCAAACACCAATGAAACAAACAGTGAGTGGTCAAAAGTCTAACACATGCAATTAAGCAATTATACAGATATAGCTTTAAAATTGAAATAAAATGAAATAATTTGGTAAGTACATATATTCCAAAGGATTAATCAGATCACAATATACACACTAGCGTTTAGGATGCTTTAGAAATATACTATTTCCTCTCTCCACAATTCCATATCTTATTTAGCACAGTGAAGCTCGAAAAGGCACTATTGTGTGCGTCATAGTAATAAAAACATGATGCCAATGTGTAAGCAACTAGATGGGCAAAACACCACTCCAAATCTAAACTGTATACAAGAAATAGAAAGAGATGGTCCACAGACTGCTCATGGTAAAAGAGCTAGGAAACCTTCTCTCTAAGAGCACTCGAACAAAGTATCAAGGGATCAGCCATAACACATGGCACATGCAACAACAAGACCACTTGGAAAGTGCGTGAGGGTAGTTTCCATGGCTTCTTTTTGCAGGTTTTCCTTTTCTATCTTTTGCCAAATAGAGAAACATCTAGAACATCATGAGTAAGTAACTACCAGTACAAAATATTCATGAATCTCTGATGGGATAGTTGTCAAGGACTAGGAATGAACACATCGCAAGTGCTGATCATGGACTTCAGCCCCCACCCGTGCATGCTAGTAGAAGATGGCTTTTGAAATATGAGATGATAATGTTTAAAAAGCTATAGCCCTTAAAGAGATGCAATATCCTACCTTGAAAATAAAAAAGGGCTAGTGTTTTAAAAAATGGGCAGCACAGAGCCTAGGCACCAAGGGGCCCTAGGTCGCACGCCTAGGCATGGGCACCCAACGCGCGATTCTGGGCCAGCACCCAGGGCCACGGGCCATTTTTATATTTTTAAAAGGGGAAATGGGGTAATCATGATGCCTGAAAATGCTTAAAAATAGTATGGGGGTTATTTTGAACCCCCACATAAAAACAAAAACAAAAAAAAAAAAATCCATAAACCCTAAATCAATTAACTATACCTATTTCTGACAATCGAAAAATATTGGATGTTGGACTTTTCACCTTTTTGGAATATTGGTTATTTGGTTTTATGCTTTTGTACATTTGTTGAAGACGGAGAGAGTTGGATTGTGATTATGGAATATGGAAAGTTCGAGACTATTACTAATACAGTTATACACTATAGACTATTAAACTGTTAACTTTTTTAAGTTTTTTCACTAAATTTTATGTCATTTGAAGTTTTGAACAAACAACTTTATTCTTAACATGCGATATGTTAGTACAAAAAAAAAGTTGATTAATGCAAAAAATTACAAAATTAACAGAAATATATGCATATATGTGCGTTTGGACAGCACATATATGTATCTATCTAAAGAATTTGTACTACAGGGCACTTGATATTCTGGGCGCCCGCCTAGACAATGGGCACCCGGCCGGCCGCCTAGCGTTTTCTTAAACCTAGGAAAGGGCATTAAACTAACTCTCTAGGGAACACACCCATCTTGAGCAAAGATGTTAGATGTCACATATGCGTGTCTTTACCAAACCAATGAACACTTTAGTTACTTGTTAACTGAAAGTGAAGCAATGCGATCTAACAGCAATATCTGGTTAAAAATAGCATAGTATGAATAATATAAAATTAATGCAGCTCTTGACGATCTTTTTATCCATTTTTGGGATTTTATACACATCAGGTTGTTCTATTGTCTACTCATTTGTTTGGCAGCACGCAACAGTCCCCAATCTCAAAAGCAGTCAAGGGGCAATGACACATTTGTGATGTCCATTGCTTCTCCAATGCAAGGGGTAGATGCCTAAAGAATTGTTGATTAATTGCTATTGTTTGTGATGCACCACCAGAAACAAAGAAAATGCATTAGCAAACCAATGAATTTCAGAAATAGAGTGTGCACACACTTCACAACAAGCAATTCCTGTATCCAGTTTTCATATTCCAAACTGGTACCCAATATTTTCATCAAGAAATATGAAATGCAAAGGATTCAAACACGCTTAGAAGATCATGCTAACACAATAAATTGTTCTCCCATTCGTACTTATTAGAATCCAATATTCTTTTGTCCATACAGTTGAGTTCATTTGAAACCTTGTCCATGTAGAGGAGAACAGGGACTGTGCATAATATTGGGTCTTCATGTGCCATTAGGAAAACTCACACACTTCACAACAAGCAATTCCCGTATCCAGTTTTCATATTCCTAAATGGTACCCAATATTTTCATCAATAAATTTGAAATACAAAGGATTTGAACACGCTTAGAAGATCATGCTAACACAATAAATTGTTCTCCCATTCGTATTTATTAGAATCCAACAATTCTTCTGTCCATACAGTTGAGTTCATTTGAAAACCTTGTCCATGTAGAGGAGAACAGGGACTGTGCATAATATTGGGTCTTCATGTGCCATCGGGCAAACTGTTATTATAGACCTTCTTTTGACTCTTACTAATCAATTTATTGCTTGCAAAAACTAGTGGAATTCATTCAAATCAAATAAAATTCGATCAGACACAGCCATCTCAATCTTAGGCATCTTGCCTTTCTAGCTCCACCCAACAATAATAAAGATCTGGTTCACACAGCTTAAGTCATTCGAATCCAGTAAAATCGTCTCAGACCAACCATCTTTTTCACATATTAACTCTTTGAAACTGACTCCATCAAATCTAATAAACTTAACTCATCCCAAAATTTAATGAATCCACTTAAAATTTATTAGAAGTAAAGATGTATTCAACATGAAAACGAGCAAGCAATCAAACATTCGAGCACAGGTATGTTCAATCAAGAACTTACCAATTTTCAGTTATTGGTTAGCATGATTTCGTCACCACCCACTTTAAGCCATTACACAAACATCAGGTGACGAACTACACCACAAGCCAAAAGGTCCATATATTTCGTCACCACCCACTTTAAGCCATTACACAAACATCAGGTGACAAACTACACCACATACCACAAGCCAAAAGGTCCATATACTTCTCACAACCTTGATAGAAAAGTGCCCAGACCTCAGTTATATTAATAAAATCTAGAAAAAGAATTAGAAAACGAAAAAGAAAAAGAAAAATACTCTTCTTTAAAATCTGAATCAATCCATATTACATAATCCAATACACATTCATCTTTGGCAAAAAAACAGCTATGCAAATAATAGTCTTCCCATAAAGAGCATTAAAAATAGAGATAGGAAGATTTTTATCTACCTAGAAAACTACCAGAAAGGTACAGAACCATTATCAACATCGAAGCCACCCTTAAACCCTAATCCCCAGAAAATTCCCAATTTCACGCAAAAAACACCGCAAGAAATCAAACCAATCCAATCCCCAGATCAATCCAATAAAAAAGCACACTCCTAAGCCATAAAGCCAGGACCTTTAAGTCTTTTACCCAAAAAGCAACCATCTCCAACAAACACTAATTCCTCATCATCACACAAAAAGAACAAAAAGAAACCCCAGATCTGCAAAATTTAGGGCACAAATACCTTCAAAGAAGTCGACGACAACGGGCCAGCTCCATGGGGTCGTAAGAAGTGAGAATCAGGAGTTGCAGATGAGATAGAAAGGCCCGAGGAGAGAGAATCGAAACGAGGACCAAGGATTCGGCCTCGATTCGCACCTCCACCACCAGGACGCAAGCTCAAGACTGTCTGATCCGCCTGCATAACTTTGCCAAATAAACTGTTGTTTTCTTGCCAGAAAACTGAGGATTTTGCCAGAAAACCGGCAAAGAGGACGATATTCCGGCGATATGTGCCGGAAGATATGATCGGATAAACCAGAGAACGTAGAGAGGCCTCGAAAGCCTCTTTCTCTCTCTACTTTCTCTCTCCTCTCTCTCGCTCTGATGCCGAAAGAGGCGAAGGAGAAGAGAGGGTAGGAAGAGAAAACCCCTTTTTATTATTGAAATTTCCTTTGGGCAGTAAAATTCTATTGCTTGACTAGCAGATGTTTAAATACGCGCTAAGGGGAGATTAATTTCAGGTATATCCTCAGATTTTTAAAGAAGTTGATTTTTACATAAAGGTAGATTCAATGTATTTATTTAAATGGTGCGATTTGTATAAAGTCTAGGCTCTAAACAATCAAATTAGAGCCTATTTTCAAATAGTATCGAGAAATGTGGTTTTAATATTGAAAATTTTTGTGAAAGCTTTAAAATATATTTTTATATTTATTTATAAAGTTTAAAGCTTAAAAAATAGTATAGATCGACAGATCTATGAAAACTTGAAAATAGTGAAAATTGACGGTCCAAAAATTTGTTACAAAATACCCTATTTCAAAAACTTGAAATCCAGTTTTTTTCTTATGACCGTGCATCTTGATGTCGAGATGACTAATTTGAAGATATTGAACATCAAATCAACCTCTTCTAGTGAAATTTTTAGGGTAGGCTCAAATTTGATTGTTTAGAACCTCGGCTAATATAAACTTTTCCCTTATTTATATACCAATGTTGTGCTTCGAAGTCTCATTTGGTTTGGTGAAAATAATGAAGCCATTTCGTATTTCAACCAATTCGGGAGAAGACTTTAGAATTTTAAAAAAAAATTAATGTAAATAAATTAGATATATATATATATATATATATAAGAAAAAGTTTATATAAAGTCGAGGCTCTAAACAATCAAATTAGAGCCTATCTCAAAAATTTTCACTAGAAGTTGTTGTTTGATACCCAATATTGATCATCTCGACATCAAGATGTATGGACATGAGAAAACAATGGATTTCAAGTTTTGAAAATAGTGTATTTTGTAATATAT